TCTGCCCGCAGAGGGTGGTGAGGCACTGGAACAGTTTGCCCAGAGAAGCTGTGGATGCCCCATCCCTGGAAGTGTTCAAGGCCAGGCTGGATGAGGCTTCGAGCAACCTGGTCTAGTGGAAGGTGTCCCTGCCCATGGCAGGGAGTTGGAACTGGATGGTCTTTAAGGTCCCTTCCAACCCAAACCATTCTGTGATTCTATTGTCACCCTGAAAAGGGCGGGCAGAGAGCACAGCCCAGCAGCCCCTTTTTGGGTGGTTTGGAGGAGCTATGCAGAAATGCCTTCACAGCCACGGTGACAGTGTGACACTTGGATCGTATCGCCCGGTTTGAGGCCTAGGCCTTCAGCATTTGTTCAGAGACGTGCGCCTACAGGTATCTGTTGTCATGGCCCAGTGTGCCTCTCAGGGCACCCAGTTCTTGTTGGGGGTCGTCACCTGTGCCAGCTCTCTGGGACTTCTTTTGTGCAGGACGCAGCTGCACCGCTCGCTAAGCACGGCCACCTAACCAGACCCGCACCGGCTTACGATTTCCGTGTCGAATGTTGGTACTGCCGGCCAAAGCCTCCAGATTTAGAGCAGAAGTCATGTACAACCCAGAGCAGCCATACGCACAGCTGAGTTGCAGTAAGGTGGTAGGCAGCATGCATTTTCAGCACGGAGACATGTTACTACTCAGTTGGAATCATAATCATTATTAGCAAACTTTTTGTGTTGCGTTTTAGGCTGGTGCAGGTTCTGTCCTTCTTACAAGTTTCCACAACACCTCATGGATGAAACCAGATGTCTGCCCTCCTAAAGCTCCCTTCCTGAGAATCAGTAATGCCACGTAATGCACAGAAGCTCTTGTTCAGGTTACTGACAGTGTAAGACAGCTGTGAGCTGAAGTGGTGAAACCAAACAGGGCAGGAACAAAATTCCAGCAATTATTTCAATTGTCCTTTACCTATCCCCAATTAAATTCCATCCAGAGTATCATGTAGTGTTAAAAACCCTTTTATTTTAGCCCCAATCCAAAGCCTGGGTTTTTTTCCAAGACAGAGATGGTGCTTGCCCCAGACCACTTCCAGGGTGGAATGGAATAGCTGACATCCTTAACTTGTCTACGTGTCTGTCTGGGCATCAGGCAGGAAACACCTGAGGTAGGTCAGGACTGAGAGTTTGAGACTCTGAGGTCTTGCAGCTGGATCCAGCACAAGTGATGAGCTGGCAGGTGCTTGGAATAGTGTTTATCGTGGCTCCCAGGAATGTGGCCGACGTCAACAGCCGTCATCTCTCAAAACTTTTCAGCATCTTGGAGAACTCCAGCTTAAAATCAAGCAAATTAAATTCTGTACAAACAGGAATTTAAGAACAAACTGTTTTAAGGGCTTTTTCCCCAACCATTTTTGCTTCCTTACATTCCAAACTGGAGCATCCTTAGACCATTATTAGTGATGAAGGCCACAGTTCTTATTCTGCTTCATAGATAAATACGATCTCAAGTATCACTGTTGAAAAAGGGGATGGAACAAACCAGCCTGAAAAGAACCAGCAGGGCCATAATTATTATTTATCATCACAGAAAATACATGTCTGGGAAACTACCTCATTTGACTTGATCTCCACATCGGCGTAGCTCATCATTTGTAGTAGTTCATCCTGTGGGACGACCTGTAACTCCTTTTTTGTTGGGTTTTTTTTTTCCCTACTATGTGTGTCCTTCAATGGATGATGATTGATTGGTGGAGGAAGAGTAGTTTTACCTCATTTAAAGGAGCGAGTGAAGCTTTCCACAAGGTGTAAGCTGTTTGGGACCTTTTAGCTAATTGTCAGTGCCTTTCTCCAAAGAGTCAAAGCACTCTGAAGTCCAGCTTCTCAGCTCCAGCAGTTGGGGTGTGTGTCCGCCACCCCACTCCTTTCCCTCATCTGTGAGTAGGTTGGATGAGCAGGCCCAGGTTGGGGAGCAGCTCCCTGCAGGAGGTAAGGCAGCGGAGGGGACTGGGGGGTCAGGCAGGGACAGGCAGTTCCCAGCAGTCCAGGCAATGCCGTCTTTCGCTGGATGGGAGCGACGCAGAGAACACCTCCACATCCATGCTGGTGTACTGGGCGCAGAATGCCTCACAGAGAGGGTTGGGGAGATGGTGGGTTTGCGTTTGTGCTGATGTTCCTGCTCACCGAGGACAGAAATTGGCTTTTGGGAAAAGTAAACTAGATGGATCCTCCACCGCCTACACCATCACTTCCGGACCTCTGCAATCGTGTCCTCGTTTGGAGGGGCGACAGCAAATCTCGCGATAAAGGTGTTTTCTTTCCTGCTGTTAACCTGAGCTTTGCAGCCAGGTGCAGCGTGTAGCTTACCTGTCACTGAGGGCACAGTCGTGGCTGGCCGTACCCACAGCTGGGGAGATCTGGGTGACTCGGTGGGCTGTGCTGGAGTTCGCATCTTCTCACAGGCGAGAAAAGCCGCGACAGGACCCGCACCTCACCAGCCTGGACAGGCCCTTTTCCCGTTAGCGTGCTGCGACCGGTGCGGTTACACACCGAGGGTGTCACTCGGCACTTGGGGGGCTCCGAGCGGAGACGTGTCACATCCAGCCCGGGGGTGGAAGTCGCGTGCTGCCTTACACAGACTGCGCCACGTCCCCGGCACCTTCCCTGATGTGGCCTGCTGCTGCCTGAGGCAGCAAACAGCTTGCTCTGTCCGCCCTGAGGCTGCTGAATGACCGGTTTAACAAGATCCACCCTCCCATGTCCTGTCCAAAGCCTTGCCTTTAATCCAGCTGCTGAGGTGGTTACGGTGGTTCACGTGCTGGAAAACCACAGGGCCCAGGACGTGAGCATGCTTCCACCTTATGAGAGTGAAATTATTCTGTTCAGCACTGCTTCCCATTTGTTCCGTACCCCATGCAGCTTGAATGAAAGCTCACGGTCCGGCTTTCCACGTCCACCAAATTACCTTAAACTCGTGGATTACCCAGCTTCGTTTCGTGCCCTTGGTCTCTTATTTCCCCCCAAGTCTCTAAGATGATTTATTCCCAGTATGTTAAGTAACCTGTAAAGGATTTTCCTTAAATGTGTTTTCAGCATTTTGTAACCAAAAAAAGAACCCAACTTGGAAGACCCTCAAACTGGAGTGTCTTTGTTTTCCTCTGGCATCGCTCAGGAGTATGAAAGACATCGGTAACAGGCAGGGTTTGGACTCCGTACAAATCCTGCTCTATCAAGAAGAGGCTTTAATAATAAAAAAGAGAAGTGTGGGGTTTTTTCATTAAGATGTTGAAGCTTTTTAGCATTTTACAGGTTATTATACAGCCTGATGCTTCAAATACTAAGGTGAAAGTTGCCCATAAATGACCTGTAACAGGTACTCCATTTTCTCTCCATATATGGAAACAGAATTAGGAATGTAATGAAGATAAACTGTAAGAATGGCACTGATCATCAAGAAGACTAGCATTTATTAATACAACCTAGAAAATCCATCACCTACCACCACCTACACCACTTGAGCTTTAGTAAAACTAGTGACAGGGTGTTTCCAGTTGCTCTCCAGACCAGCACAGGAACATTTATACGTTGCACTGGAGCAGTAAGAAATCCTCATCTTTGAACCCGCACTCCACAACGTGAGACACATCATATGTCCGCAGACATACCTCTTCCTGCCCTGGAATGAGAGTTTACAGAGCAGCTACACTCTCCGGTAGCAGAGGTGTCGGTCTGACGGCTGAGCGCACGCTGGCGCAAACATAGGCTTTCGCAGATCCTGCTCTCCCACAGGATTCCCGTGATTTAGCACGCTGCGAGGAAAAGCTGCCTCGGGGCAGTCAATGCAGTCTTCCCGTAGCTTTTGGGGGTGCCAGGACCAAGGGTGCCTCAGTTTTGTGGCGCCGGTCAACAGCGACACGGCAGGAACTCAGTTCTGAGGCGGCGCTGCCTCTTCGTCACGGAGAACGTCGAGGGATGAAGGCGAGCTGCGCGATTCCTTCTGCAACCTTTGGCTGGGAAGGCCAAACAGAGATTCTGTCAACTACTCTCAAGAATATCCTTTTCCCTTTTTCATGTACCTACTACAGATGGGTTGGAACCTCCACAGAGAAAACCGCAGTCTACGCTCTTCGGCACGCTCGGCGCAGGCCGACGATCACCAGAAGCCAGTAACCCCCGGAGGCGTCCAGGGTGATGCACCGATTTGTGTGTGTAAACGGGTCACCGTCGGTTCGGATTGGGTCTGGGGGCTCTGGGTACGGGTTCGGGAACTGCTGCTTGAAGAGTTTCTAACTCTGCTGGCTGAAGTTTCATTGCTTTCTGCACGTTCTGGTCTCTGCTGTTCCCAAACCAGTGTCTTCAGAGCTCAGGCCGAGAAAGAAGAACTCATCGTTGAGTTTTTGCTGTTAGCCCAATAAAAACGGGGTATACTGAAGAGAATGACCCCGAGTATCCTTTCTCAGTTGTACAAACGGTACCGTCTCAGTGCTGCGTGCAAGCGCCACGTCCCAGCTGGATTTGTGACTTGGTCAAGCACATTTAGAACCTTACGTTGGACTGGGCCTCGGCTCGGAGTCTCTTTATCCTAAACTACAAGTAGTTAATGTCAAACTAATTGAGTTGCTGGCAAGGAGATGACCAACATCTGTCGTTCTCACAGCAGGCGCAGAAAGATGAGTTGGTATGTTGGTGCAAAGCTGCTCTTGCACAGCTGAAGAAAAATGCACAGACGTAAGCAGGAAGTACGGAAGCGATGAGAGAACACAGACATCGAAGTGCAAACCATCTTGTTCGTTTAGTAAGGAATCCAGAGAAAACGTGGCATCAGGGAAACTTAAGTGGCCAATAAAAATATGCTGCTTAAATCAACTATCTTAGCAGAATTAAGTTCTAAGAGAAAGTAAGCATGGCTGTACTAATTATGCTTAGGGATAAATACCAGGAGAGAGCAAGCTGCTTCACCCTTTGTTCTGCTGTTTAACTGTACCGGGTTTTTTTGGCTGTAACCATGTTGTGTGCTCGTGAGTGTCTTCTAATCAGTCTTTTTAGTCTTCCTGTAGCGCAGGATTGTGACTGTGACCCACAGGTTGAGAATGAGCATGGTTATGAAACGGATGAGAACTAAAACGGAAAAGAAAACCACTTGTAAGCACAAATCCACAAAAAAATAACTGCTGTCCTCTTCAGGAGAGGCGTTCTGTATACCCTCACTTCCCTTTCCGTAACTCTTCTGTCACCGAGTTCAAATGACCACGGGAAGGAACCCAGAAGTTCTCAAAGGAAGTAGAGCAAAGCATGCAGCTCTTGCGGGTGGCACCTGACAATGACACGCTACTGGACCTTTAATTCCCTTGTGACAAACCCAGGAGAGCAGTACAAGTTTGAGCAGCCCCAGACACATTCATGTTTACACCAAAAATGAAACTTGGAGCTGCAGTGTCCTTTGTGGGTGCGTGTGTTGTTTATAATGAAGGGGTATTTTCTACTACCAGCTGTGAAGTTTCAAGTGCAGGGAGACAGGGAATACTTGTATCTGTCCGGTTTTAAGTGTTCCAGTATCCCGATTAACGTTCAGAATGTTTTTAGACCGAAATAAGCAGAGTATCTACCTGTGAGACCACAGCTTGATGTGCGGGCGTTCCTAAGGCCTGGTTGGGGAAGGGCCTATTATTCCCAGAAACGTGCACAAAACTTTCAGAAATATGTGACACGTGGCAGTTTCATACGTCTGTATGAAGCCAGGATGAATGTTCCCAAGTGCTTGCTGCTAGACCTTAGCCGGAGACGTTTGCCATGGGAGCAGCAGAGTACCCGTGTTCGCTGCCATCTCTCCCACGGGGTGCTGTGCTGGATTTCAAAGAGCAGCTTTAACCAGAGCCAGCTTTACTTTCAAGAGCCAGCTTTTCACTTCCACGGGGTTTTTCTCCCCTCAACACACCTCTCTCGCCTCTCATCAGTGTCAGAGTAGCTGTGGGTGAACGGGACCCGGACTAAATTTCTGCATGTGCATGATGCCTGTTTCTTTGGTGATCCGTTAACTGCACGGCCCCCACCAAATACATCTGCTTTACAATGAAAACACCTGCAAATTATATCATTTAAACCAGTTTTTTGGTGAGTTTCTTACCAGCCTATCTTACTCATTTCTAGCCTGCCACAAACTTCCTAACTGTTGTGTCTGAAACTATTCACACACTAAGCTGAACTTGAGTTTTCTAGGATTTTTTTAATGCACAGACCCCACAGTAAGAAAAATTACGATTTGAAAAGCTACTACTGATTTATGAAGTTGAATTTTACTAAATTTATGGATTTAAATATGGAAGATTTGTATTGCTTCATCCTGCTATTTTCATAATTGAGTGAGTTTTGTAGTGCTTTGGCCTCTTGAAAAAAACCAGCAGGGTTTGGGCCACCTGTCACAGGCGGAGGCAGGTTCTTTCATTTTCTCCAGGTATGTGAGTGATCCCTGTGCTCCCATTCCAGCAGTAACTCCTTCCCTCACCTGACAACCCAACAGGTTGGTGGTTTCTTCCGCGAGCAGGTAACTGCTGTTACAGAACAGCTGGAAACTACAGTGGCAGCTGTGACCTTGGAAAGGCGGGCAATTCCATATCTGACTCACCTGCCAGATCATTCGTAGTCATCACTGTTGTAAATATTCTTGCTGCAAATGGAACGAATTCTGGTCAGTGGACTAGATACGACTTGTTCATACCTTCAGAAAATAACAAAACATCTGTTTTTCCATAGAGGATAATTGAAAGGATTTTCTTGCATGAAAATACACATTGTATAGACATTCCCCCTTTCAGTGCACCTGCTCTTCACCATTCTAACTTCAGAGATGAAGCTCTGAAAGCTGTGACACTGTTTTAAGCATCTTTTTTAAAGAGAAAAACATGGATACAAGTAGAAGGTTTCTCTCTCTCACTAGATTGGGTGTGGTCGATTTACTGCTTCTCTTTCTGTTCAGCCCCCTCCAGAGCTACACCCACAACAGAGTTAGCGTGAGGTACCCACTGTAACATTCACATGCCCAAATAGGAGGAATTCAGCTTTCCTTCCCTCAACAACTCTAAACATCTATTATTTCCCATTTGCAGCAGGCTAAAACCATTTATAAAGCGCACTGCCATTGTTCAGTGACCATACCACGACTTGTAATTACTGACTTAAACCCGCTTGTTTCACGGGGAAAAAGATCCAGCATCACCATGTTTTACAGTGAGAACATTTCAGCCAAGTTCTGTGAATGTGACAGAGGCACTTCGGACCAACGGCTGCAGAACTGTTCCTGCAGACCACTGAGTAATTAACAGGTGAACTGCGCAAATCACTCTTCTTGGTACGCTCTTAAATCCTGTGTTCTGCTGAGAAGTGTGTTTACCTGTAGGCACAGAGTTCAAGGAGCATAGCAACAAGTGTGTATTTGTTTGTAGATGGCTTTCAGAATTAGCGTTGTCTGACTGTCGGACTAGAGAATTTAGCCCCTTTTCATGATGGAGCACTACTAATTTTATTAAATCCTTGAACATGGAAATCTCTTCTTTGTAAAGACAGTTATTTCAACTGTATCAGGTGCCTTTGGCTGTATTTGCCTGTCTTCTAAGTTAAAGAGTCATTGTGACTGAGCTGCTGTCAATGATAAAACTCGATTTCAAGACACTCTTGTGTTATCTGAGTCTCAGCAGTCAGCACTAAGAGAAGATTTTTACCTACTATGTTTGAGTAAAGATGTGTTGAATCACAGAATGGTTTCGGTTGGAAGGGACCTTAAAGACCACCCAGTTCCAACCCCCCTGCCATGGGCAGGGACACCTTCCACTAGACCAGGTTGCTCAAAGCCTCGTCCAGCCTGGCCTTGAACACTTCCAGGGATGGGGCATCCCCAGCTTCTCTGGGCAACCTGTTCCAGTGCCTTACCCCCCTCTCCAGGAAGAACTTCTTCCTGATATCTAATCTAAACCTCCCCACTTTCAATTTAAACCCATTCCCCCTTGTCCTGTCACTACAGGCCCTTGTAAAAAGTCCCCCCCCAGCTCTCCTGTAGGCCCCTTCAGGTACTGGAAGGCTGTGACAGGGTCTCCCTGGAGCCTTCCCTTATCCAGGCTGAACAAGGTACTGGGAGGAAATCCAGCTTAAAAAATACCAAAAACTCAGTGCCACGCACCAAGCTGCCTGTAGCTTACCTGCACAGGTATATGCAGACATACTCCAGGTCAAGGCGCTCACTTGTCCAGCCTCTTTTGTCTGCCAGAGACACCGCAGCTGAGCCAGCTTACTGGCCGCACTGATGAGCGTGCAGAAATTCTGAAAAGCAGGTAAAGAAGTGAAAAAACCCTCTGCCTCGACCATTGTATTATCTGAGTGTTTAGCTTACGGCTGTTAGTATGGAACTTAATAAAACCCAGGACTGGCTTTTTCATTTAGAATTAAAGAAAAAATATCCTTGTTCAGTATTTAGCAACCAAAGCATTTCAGCTTCTTACTGAGGAACCGTGAAGCAAAAAATTCAAGTTGCCAGAAGCAAGGGACTGATTTCTGAGGTACTGCCCAGAAAGAAGCTCACAGAGCACAACAATTGCTACTGCTGCTGGCAAATGCCTGACAGTCTCAAATACATTAAGAAGCAAAGAAATAAAAAAGCCTCTCAACCTGCTACATGAAACTGTTTATGCGAGTTAGCTGAAATGAGCCTGACCTAGTCTAAACAGCTAGGTTCATTCAGACCATCTGTTACCATTATGTCTGGCAAACAAAACCATACAAGAATGAGAAAACTGACAAGAATGTGTGGAAAATGAGTCAAATTGGTGGGAAAAAATAATGAAGGGAAGGGACTATTCACCCTGTCAACCTTTTAAGGGGGGTTTTACAAAGACAGAGGGTAGAGGGGACCGCCACATGGGTCTTTGTGCCATGCCTGGATTTCCCTTGGAAGTAAGGATCGGTATCAGGCTTAGAAGCTTTTATCCCCATTGGTATCATTCTTTACATTAGCAACTCCAGTTCATCTCAGTTAAATTTTAACTTAAATCTCTCTTCTGATAAAAGACTGTCTTTAACCTCCGTAGGGCATTATCAGATTATATTTTTCTTGCAAAACTATAGGGCTAAAGGCAAAAAAAGATTTTGTGAAATATTTAACATCCCCTGTTTCAAATGCTTTGACTGATGCTCTATTCTTTTCCTCTCACATTAAATGGTTATTAATGGGGATCATGACATTAGGACAGAAGAGGCAGTCTCTTTTCAACATCTTAAACCTTGACTAGGTTTAATTAAGGCATCACAATTAACAACCTCAGAACACACCTTTTCTATTTCCACAGAGTACCTATTGCCAGTGCTATGTTTTCCAGCTCACAGAAGTGAAACTGCTGTATTTGAAAACTGGGGTCGTTCTGAAAGCTAACCCAAATGATTAATTCCTCCAAGGACAAATACAAGGAGAGATTTCACTAATAAAGACATCCAGAAAAAGAAAAAAATTACTATGTGGACCTGATTTCTAATAATCATGCAGCACTTACCATGGCCAGGTCTATTATCCACTTCCGCAGCGTCAGCATGTACCAGCCCCCCCAAAATCTTACATTATGTTAAGTTTCGTCGCACTGAAAATTCTAGGATACTGCAGCTCGTGAAACTGTCTGGGGAATTACATTTTTTTAAACATTTGGCAATGATCTTATTGAAACTTTAGAACAGACTATACAGTATAGATAAAACACATTAAACACTGGTTTAAACACTAGGTGCTCCTATTTTTCACACTGTCTTTGGCTAAACAGCACCTGGAGTTTCTCAAGAGCTGCTCCAAAGCACCAGACTTGAGATTGAAGCCCAAATCCTATTAAGAAAACCCCAAAAAACCAACAAAACCCAAACACTGCAGCTCTCGTCACAGCAAGTACAATCTGCATGGGTAGGAAGCAAAGAAAAAAGTGTTGATCATTTACACCCTGCATCCCTAGCAAAGGTGTAAATGAAGAATTGGTCGTACTCGTTAGCAGGGGTGGGCCTTCTGAAGCACAGCTACACACAAAGCTTACTTCTTGTAGAGATCGCGCCGCGATCCCAGAAATCGGTGCGTGACTGCGTGACACACGTTGGCTGAAAATGGTTTACAACGGTAGCATGAAACAAATGATGACACCACTGCTATGCAAAGAACTACCAAACAAGCCACATAAACCCAAATTCCCAGATTTCAAAGGATACGTGACTGCGTAGAACAAAGCTCGTTTCATGTTCCCATTGAAACGCAGAATAAACAAAAGGAGAATGGCATCTGGAATAAATGAGAGACTGCACATCAGAGATGAGAGACAGGCATGATGTCTACGGAAACTGTTTCTTACAGGTTTTCTCCCTCAAATTTGATTGATGTCCAAAACACTGCAAGCTCCAAAATGAAGCTTTTCTTAGACTGTGGAGTGTTTGTTTCTCTCCCATGTGGAGTCACTGGATGAAGGATGAGCTTACACTGCAACTCCACTGTGTGTGGATTAATTAGAATTAATTAGACCTTTCTCCCCTACCTGACCATCTATTTTGATAAAATTTACAAGGATTCAACCACATTTGAGATGTTCATTCCCTTTTCCCCCTACTCCAAGCTAGAATTAGCCAGTGATTGGTCAATCATTGGTCAGCAGACTCCCCCGACTGCAGTGGAGGACTGTACCTACATGCAGAGCCCTCGAGTGCTGAATGAGCCCTGTGTTATTTCCAAAACACGGCTTAAAAAATTACCTTGTGCAATGATGATGGGATATTCCAGGTATGTCTGCAGAGGGTAACCATAATAGATCTGGTACCTCAGAAACACAAGGAAGCTGAACAGAAGACACAAAAGAGCATGACTGCACGAAGCGACAGGACAGCTTCTTCACAACTGGTTTTTTTTACTGTTTTGCTTGTGCCAAAAGGCTCCAGATGGCTCCAGCTGTCAAACTGATCAAACAAATATGAAGTGCAAGCCTGATGATTCTGGAGTCTATTTCTGTTACCTTCAAATGGAATGAGATACAGAGAGCTGCCCATACTTCTTGCCAAAGTCTTTGTGTCAGTGTGTAAGCATAATTTTATTAATTAAAACTGATGAGAGAGCAATAAAGACTTAGGACCAGACCTAGAAGGTATCTTCTCTTTGCAATTGCCTTGGCACCTCGGGGATAACTCTGATTTCTTTATTTATGTCTGAAGTTCAGTCTATACATTAAGCAAGTTTTACTTTTCACAATGAGTAGAAAACATTTTCCAAACTGTCTAGACTGGAGTGCTGTAACATTGCCCTGTGTAGCTGTGCTGTACAGAGAGTCTGTTCTTAAGTGCACTAACAACGGCCATTCTCCCTCCTGCTATTCCACAATACAGTATATAAAAGAAATTGAACTTTTATCATGTTTACTTTCTTCAACTTTCATGCAAATCCATGGGGTTAGGCAGAAACTTCCAAGGCTGCAGAGAACACAGAAAGGACTCTTAAGGCACAGTTTTATGTGAGGAAAAATGGAAGGTTTCTGGAGTGGAAAGATGGCATAAGGAACTGCCTGCCTTGTAAGAAACTGGCTTTTACAGTATTCAGAATTTAAATATCTGAACTTCCTAGAAGTCTCATTTCTTATAGGGTGAAATCATACCCCTTGCCATCAGCACCATGCTTCTGTGTCAATCCTCTGCCAGGTCACTGCATCCTCACTCTGCAAAACTGTCCCAGTTTGTACCAGTAGCCCCAAAGCCCTGCAACTGGACCCAAAGGCTTTAAAGGTTGCAGGATAAATAGTCTACTGAGTAAATAGTCCCTATAAAGGTTTCAAAAAAGCCTCGTTGCAACTCATCCAAAATAGTTTTGCCCAGAGCAGGTGCGGAACCCGCACGGTGTGGGAACTGTGGTTATCATGCAGGTGCTGAGGAGACATTTACGGCTTCTCCGTGCTCAATCTGAAACTACTTCTGAAGACTTTTTACAGCGACAACAGGGATTCAGCGCCGTGGAGAAATGCAGGCAGCCCACGGCTGCAGCAGAGACCCGACGGAATTCCGTATGGCTACATAGGGGAAGATGTCCGTAGGGCTGCACCTCCCCAGCACCAGACAAGGGTCAGCAGCTCTGCCCTGGCGTGTTCGGAAACAACATGCCATTTTTGTGAGGCATTTTCTTGGAATTCAAAGCCCTTTTTTCAGCTTGGTGTACAGAGCTATCAGCCTTATGGCTGGATGTCCTGGCCCCCTCTGTCACTGGGTTCTGGAAATACAAGGCTTTTTGAGGTATTTTCTCCCACATGCTTGTACCCACATCTGCTTGCACACGCACATAGTTTCTCAATTTAGTTTTCATTCCATTAAGATTTAATTAGCTCATGTAACCTTATTACAGACTGACAAATCTTTGAGGTTTGACACGGTTTGTAATTTTCTTCAAGAATGCTTTACTTATTTGGGTGACAGAAGCCTGTCCGACTGGTACAATTACCTGCGCAACAGGGTGCACGGGCCACTTAATAACCTAAACGTGGCTTAGGTGTTGTCTCCGGCTGCTTGGGTGGCCCGGGTGGGTTCTGGGCAAGTTAAAAAAGCCGTGTTTCCCTTCAGCCAACGGCGCGGAAACCTTCAGAACGGGAAGTTTCAGACCCAAAGGGCTGGCGTGGCCATGGCACCCGCGCACGGCGGGCGGGCTCAGCCGAGGCCGGCCATGGCAGAAGGCGCGCTTTCAGACGCGAGGGGAGCACGGGC